AAGGCTGGCAGTTGGTTGAGTCGGGGAGAGTTGGGAGAGTTTGTTGGAAGCGAGGATGAGTTTAGTCAGGTCCACCTGCTCCCACCAGCGGTCCTCTCCGTCAAACGTCACGTTCTTGGCCTCCTCGGGGACATCAAGGTTAATTCTCCACACTGTGTCCGGCACTGGGGAGAAAATAACACAGTTCTGAGGAGGTATTCAGTGTGCAAAATACTTGGTTGCCCGGTTGCCCAGGGCAACCAAATTTTAATGGGGCATTTATTTTGAACCTAGGTAGCCCAGTGTGCTACCTGAATTTTAAGAATGCCCCCCCCCCCCAAATCATGCCACTTGGCTTGCATCACTCATCATCATAGCTTATCGCCAATCCACTCCAGCCAGTTCCGCGCTGCTTCATTGGCCTCCTGGAGATCTGTGTCTGTGCAGGTAGGACCAAGCCTGCAGCCGTGCCGTGCTTGCATCACTGTATCCGGAAGATGCTTTTTAATTTTAGGTATTAATGGATATTACTAGTATTAACTAAAGGCTGTTAGAAATATTGTCAAAGGCTTATGTACTAATGTTTGAGGAAAGTAGTAACTTATAGGTGGGGCAACCTAAAATTCTGATGGGCAACCTAATTTTTGCCGTAGGTTGCCCACTAGGCAACCTGCTTCAAAAAAGTATTTTGTACACTGGTATTTAACAAAAACACCCCTGCAGGTCCAGGAACAGAAGATAGGGGGCCCAGTGTAACACCACTGGTGAAACTTCGAGTACTTGACGATAATATCCTTTGACTCAACAAACACAGCCATGGCAGAATTTCTCACAAATCCAAAACTTGACATTCTGCTGCAGTACAATAGATAGTCACTAGGAGTCCCATATTGTTTGCTTTTCAACATAAACCCATTTCACCAATTGATTGAGTTATGCTGAACACTGTAACACAGTCGGCCTGAAATCCTTTTTCTGTCAATTACCTACAGCCAGTGCACTGGTGCAGGCAACATTGAAAATTACCTGCACCAAACAAGTTACTCCTGCACCACTCAGAATTCTTTGGTCCCCGGGGTGGCGGGCTTGGACAGGTTTGAGTCGTTTGACTGTATAGATTATACTAAAAACTGTTCAGAAACCATTATCATTTAATATGTCTTCTAAGTTCTATACTTCATAAAATATATACTGTAGGATGTTGACAGTAAATAATGCAGAAAATTAGATATTGATATATACATATGTTAACGTTACATATTAATATATACATGCACCCAGCATATGGACCAGTGCAAGTTAACATAGCTTTGCTTAGCTTAGCTTAGCTTAGGCGGTCCTTCGATTTCGAAGATTTGACATGACCTTCATGGCTCACTCATCAGGTGATGACACCAATTTGAAAATAACACACAAACATGACAAAGAAATACAGGTGATTTGGTCATTTATATCAATTTCAACTAATCTCCCTGCTGCCTAATCCCAGGTCACAATTCACATTTATGTGTCAAAGGCTAACTCAGCAGGGGAGGTTAAAGGGCAATATGGGGGCAATAAATTTTTCATAATATTCCCATTATAGTTTAGAAATTGGTCTGGTTATAATGAAACTGAGCTGTAATTATGTAACATGAAAGCAGATATTTCAGACTTCAGGGAAGTATTGTCAAAAAATGGGTCATCATAAATGAAATATACAATGGAACAACTGTAAAGATTGTACTACAATGTGCCACATGTAGGGGGTTAAGGACAGGAACTATATGTGTATGCGGAGGGTCAATTATCAGGGCTGGAAATACTGGGTGCATGTGCACCTCAATTTTGGAAATGGTCAGACATTTCAGCTAGTATCCACTACTCTCATCTGCCGAATAAACATACCCCCCGGAATAAACGTACCCCGCGGACAAATCTTCAAAATCAAATAAACATACCCCCGGAATAAACGTACACCCCGGAAAATTACCAAAGTTGACGGGTAACCTGTGTCTCTTGTACTAAAATGCGCCCTTACTGATATCTGCACAAATCTTTAACTGTTATTTGCAATTAGGAATTTAAATAGACAAAAAAAAAAGAGCATTTAATATTTCGTATTTTGATAAGCACCACCCATGACAATAGAACATTCAGACGAATGTATGCACGCGGTGATTGCAAAAACCGGCCCGAAAATGACAAGTTTCTCGCCACAATACGCGTTTATAAACGTCTTCACGTCGATGATTTGTCAATTTTTTTCACACGAAGTTGAAAAAAATTACTGGTTTTCAAAAAATTAATACACGTACTGTGCAAAATAAGAACGTACTGGGTGGATGTTTGGGCCCCAAAAAATAAACGTACCCGTATGTTTATTTGGCAGATGAGAGTACCTTTTATCAGTGACTGACGAAAGCTAGTGGATACTACCTGAAATGTCTGACCGTTTCTAAAATCATATCCAGCTGCTTAAGTAACTGCTTTTTGGCGAAACTTACAGTTACATATTAATAATAAACTGTATAATTTCAGAGACCTTCAAATAAGGCTTTGATATATTGGTAGCCTTTCAAGACAAGTGAACATTATAGCAATAACCTCCCTGGGGACAATTATTAACTCAATATCAGACATGATTTCTCAAGCAGACAGAACATCCTTGACACAGTAACACATACATGTAACAATTGACATGGGCTGCTTAGCAATTAAGTGTCTGATAAAAATGTACACAAAATAAATTTGTCATGTAGTATGAAAAACATGCATAATTTTCCTAATTTCATGAATGCAATGCTTGCACAGGGTCCTACTAGTAACGTTATAACAGGGCTCCAAATTCATTTTTGGGAATAGGTGCACTGGTGCACCCAACCTAAAAAATTGGGTGCACCAAAATTTTTTTGGGTGCACCAAATACTAGTATGTCAGCAAAAACTAATTATGTTTTATTTCTAAAGAAAAATACTACGACAATGATTTTATAATTTTGCTGACACTTGGATGTTACGAATATGTTGTATACTACTTTGTATTTAACATCATCTAAACCAAGATATTATTTGGGTGCACGGGTGCACCCACACAAAAATGGGTGCACGGCTCCAAATTTGGGTGGACTTTAAAGGTGCATATATATGCATGCACCCAGTATTTCGAGTCCTGTATTACATGTACATAATTGTCACTATATAGCTGACCTCAGAATATAAATACATATTTATTGCAATACTTTGCATATGTATCACTGAAAATAATGATTGATGATGGGGGTAAGGTTTATTATGAGGTTAAATTTCCTGACTGTTATTTAATTATATAAGCTGGGTCTTGATCATTTTGGTTCTATGTAATTTGTACATGTACGTAGTGACAAAAAATAAGAAAACAAAAATCATTGAGTTCTAAAAATATATACAATCACTGTTCAAGACTATTCCCATTCATAATCATCAAGTCACTTCAGAATTTACTGTATGATCCTAATTATAAGTAGAACTTACTTCATATGTTGCAAAACATTACAAAAATGTGTGATGTGTGAATGAGACAGTATGTGAAAATATAATTAACCCAGTATAATATTCTTGTACATGTACAAATGTATAAGGTATATGAGCTGATAACCCACATAAATATATTCATTATTGCAGCTTTGACTAGAGTACAAACATGTACTTTACTGTGATGGTCATTAATTTTTCTAGCTACATTATATTCATATCCAAATGTGCCTGGATCCTCTTCTGTTTGTCACCTGTTATACATATTTTTTGTAATTTTGAAACATCATAAGCAGACCATATAGTTGGGTATACATCTAGGTGAGGTCTCCAATTATCCATTTAAAAAACAACATAAAGTCTTTCATAATGAATATATTATGTACATCACTACATGTATATACCAGTACATAAAAACATAATTATGAAAGACTGCATAAGTGTAATAAGAGACTCGGTGATCTAGTAGAACAAAAAAAAAAGTGATATTCTGGGTGTTTTTAAAAGCCGACTACTACATCCACAGGCACATCGTTTTTATGTCAGTAATTGGCCATGGCAGAGTCCTCATCACCAATTCATACAGGCACTGCTGGAGGCCTGACATCAGACCGCATAATCAGGCACTGTACATGTACATTCAACACTCCACACCAGGGATGGTCTGCATCCAAAACAGCTCTTTCAAATTAAGGCCATAGCAAGTAAATTTTATGGATGACATCCTCCACAGACTCCAAATCTAATGCGACAGGGTGAAAAAAAAAACAAGGCGGGCCAAAAAAAACTTCTAAGGTTCCTACATTTTTAAATTTTTACTCAATCATTGTACAAATGGTTTTGATTCAGTGGGAATATCACATACATGTATACACAGCCAGCATCCCATCACTGCATCAAAGCTAACATTTACATTAACTCAATGCCTTTTCTTGTCTCCTCTCTTGTAATCTACCATCCACATTGGGCAGGGATTGAAATACTGGGTGCATGATTGTGCACCTTAGTGCACCCAAAATTGGATTGGTGCACCCAATTTTTGACTGTGGGTGTACCGGTGCACCTAAATAATTTTGTAGTATTAAGTACGGTAAAGGTACAAAACACTGCAATTCCAACATTGCTGTGATGGAATAAAATGATAAAAAAATCTTTGATGCACTGACTTAGAAATTGTTGAGATAAAATTAGATTTACTTCAGTTTTTAAAGCCAGAAAATGTGTCGGCGCAGTGCCGACATCGCGTTACCCACCAACTTCCGGATCCCGACTACAACACTGGACAAGAGATCTCTAACGTTAATCTTTCTCGTTCCCCAGTTTCTTGATAGTCATGTGACCAACACATCGCGAACTCGCTTCCGGAACTTTCCGACGCTTTTTGGGAGTTACCTCGGGGGCGTGTCATGTGACAAAATGTTGTTTTCGTGCATTTTTCGCTTGACTTCAATAATCTTCGAGGTCACATCGTCAAAACCCGGGTGTCGACAAAATTCGGCCATGAAATTCGTGGATGACAAAGCAAAACAAATACGTCGAGACAGACTTCGCTTCTACGGTTCCTTCAGCCGAGGTCCGATCGTGATGACGAGGTGCACCAGTGGTTAGGTGCACCAGTGCACCTAATCAAAAAAATGAATTTCGATCCCTGTTGTGGCATGGTAACAGACATCTTTACCCATTTTCGGCATGTTGACCACCGTCAGAGGGCAACGAAGTTCTTGTTTTTTTCTTCCGCTGATGTCATCCATAAAAATTACTTGCTGTGGCCTAAACATCTAAAAAATATATCAGTTTTCCTGTACTAGAAAATTTTGTGCATACTGAAAATTATTCTTGAAAGTCATAACTTAGGGATATTTGAAACTACATAAATATATTATATGAAGAGTTGATATTTTTGTCATCACATCTCCTTAAACATCTGTTTCCTGTGATTTGAGATTGCATTGGTGGTTGAGCTTGCACAGGAAATGCCATACAAGCTCCGTCTGTAGATGTAATCTTTTCATTTCATTTGGCTAGTGATCAGATACTGTACATGTTAAATAAATCTTTTATTTTCATTATTACTAATAACCTGTTATCAGAATGGCATTTATCAGATCTGTACTAGTGATATTGTACTTTATTTTATTCATACTACCTGCCAGGCTTTTAGCTAGGGGGTGTCCAGGGTGTCTTTTGGACGCCCTGTACTGAAAATAATAAGAAATTGGACGCCCTACTTTTTGGTTGGACACCCTAAAGACGCCTTATTTTTTCCACTCCCAACCCCTGCCATGCACACATGCCTCCCTTCAGCCTTTCTATAAATGCAAAAATGATGGTTTACTGAAGGAAAAAAACTTGAGAGCATTATGAATTTCAAAAAAGCCCCCCTAAAATCTTGCACTCAGCACGTCTTCACTGTGCATAGCATACAATAAAAAAAATGGACACCCACCAAAAAAATCCTAGCTAAAAGCCTGCTACCTGCACATCAATTATTCTAGGCTAAGGCCACACCAATTTAATTTCTTGGTTAACGGATTCGCCCGCTTCATTTTTTTCTGATTTGCAACACAAAAAAATCATAATCAACTGCAAAATGCTCATATTTTGCCCTGAACAGTTAAAAACAGGCCTTTTCTTCCTACTTGTTACAGTCATTCCATTTTTCAATGTAATGGTATCACTAAAAGTTAAAAATTAATTGTTTAAATTTTGAACCAGTCTGGTGTGTTGACTGCATTGTTTATGGCTACTATCGTACCATTAATTGGGCCATAATAGGATGGCTAGGCCTGTTTTTATTTTTATTTTTTTCGCCCGCCCGCTCCATTATTTTTCTAGAAAATCCGTTAACCAAGAAATTAAATTGGTGTGGCCTATAAGGGTCAAAGAAAGTGCAAGTTACTATAGTGTCATGTATAATTTGAACTGAGTGTTGAAGGGGCACTGTGAATATCGCAATTTATGCTTCATGATCACAAAGCTGGAACATGCTCAAGGGCTACGAGACTATGGGCATGATTCGTTTCAATACTCAAATTTCCAGCTGTTGCAATTGTTAATATTCTCGTGCTTGTCCCATGACAAGCGGGTCTGTTTAGTTTTCAGCCAGTGGACTTTGGTTTTGACAGATGTGTCCCGTCAGTCAAGTCTACCGGCTACTAGTGGGGAATTTGACAAGATTTTTAGGCTACAAAATTCGCTGTTTCGTAATTCCTATGGCACTGACATAAAGGCGATACACTTGTTATAAAACGTAAAATCTAGGTCAAAGTATCAGAGATCAACTCACCCTTTTCCAGACCCCGGTTTGACAAGTTGAGTTGTCCGCTCTTCCGGGCTTGTTTCAGCAGGGCGCCCGACACATTCGGCCCCGTGGGCTCGGGCTCAAACCCCGCCCGAGGGTTAAACCTCCCCCGCCTCCCTCGTCCTCGACCCAGTCTTGACATCGTTCCAGAAATCTACGCAAAACGTTCTTGCTTTTTGCAGCTAAACACGAAGAAAAATCACGAATTCTTAACATCCATTCAAACAGCCGTCACTTCGTCCGCCATTTTGAATAAGGCCCCAAGGGACTGCCTGTTCTAAAATAATATTTCATGCCTGATGTAATCGCTCTTATAGATTCATAAACATGACCCCTCAGGCACTACCGGATGCCATAAATCACAAAAAGACATTAGTGTGAATGCTTTGATGTTCAACTGATAGACGTCTTTTATATCTAAAACTTAATATAGTGTAAAAGACAATGGCATTGCTGCTGATATCATCAGGCCTCTGCAGGTGTATATGATGTCATGTATATAACAGGTGTATGATCTCTTGGGACAAGACTGCCAATTATATAAAAATATATTACAGGTAACACGTTAACGTTATAGAATTCGAACCTTTGGCTTTAAACAGTTTAACTAGTCTAGTTCCACGATCTCATGATGTTAACCTGACGAATTATAAATGTTCTCTGTTTAAAGTTAAAACTTTTTATGATAGTATAAATGTTCTCATTGCTTATGGAAATGAGATAATCATTTGCATGAATTAACATTTCTTGCATCATCATCTTCTCCGCTAGCCTGGTTACCAAACCTATTATAGCTCCCGAGTCCTACATCCTCTCCGCAAATATTTTGGAAAGGATGTTGGACTCGGGAGCTATAATAGGTTTGGTAAACAGGCTACTTCTCCGCTATGACAGTCTTATCAAAGAAGGCCATTCTACAAATAAGGTCCCGATTTTATATCATGTTTATTAAAATAATCTTCCTCTTATCATTTCAAGCATCACTTGAACAACCTACATACCAAGAATCGCGATGGTCCTTTATTCTTGTTCAAAAATCTTTCAACAAATGCCCCTGCAGTTCATGAACAAACTGCTAAGGGACGCAAACTCACGTCCCTTTTTCCTGAGCTTAAAAGCATCCAATTTCGCATGTCCAGATCAGAAGATGTCAAACCTGGAGATTATCCGCTCCAGTACCATCGCCGTTCTAGTATTTCATTATAACAAGACGTGCTTCCCATTAAGGTCCATCGCCCAAGCCCACTTACTAGTATGTTGTTTTTTGTGGTCCCGTCTCAGTGGTGACACCTGACGAGAGGCGATGGCACTGCAGTTTTGTAAAAATGGCGTGGTCACGGTGATGAGCGTGGCTGAGTAATGTTGGCGGAGGAAATTATTGTCTTAAAAAGCTACATAGCCCCCCTTGATTCCGACCCTTCCTCTTCAGGATAGCTGACTGCTCAGAACACGGGACCTCGCGGCGGCTTGGTTGGAAGTCCATAGCGGCCTCCGTCCCGTCTTAACGAAGGTTGATTATGGGCCTCGATGTTGATACTATAGTTTGATGTGAAAGAAAACTGTTTCTAACGTGGGCTCCCTGGTAAAGCCTGGGGGAACCTTGCTCCCGGTCTGCGACTTGGGGACAACTCACTGCTCGGACGGTGACAGGATCTACCGGCACACGTCCTTGGACGCCGCGCAAGCCCAATAGATTGGCTTTGATACACATTCAGACAGTAAAGAGGTATCTCTTGCAGAAATAAGAAAAACACGTCAGATACATCTAGAACAATTTAATGCTTCCTCTGTAACATGAATAAAAGCGGTTGGGAAGCTAGGTTTTATAAACATTTGCTTTTGTTAGTGTGATTACAAGATATTTTGCAAAATATATATGCTCTGGGAAACATCAGTTTTCCAGGGCTTTGGAAATAAACAGTGATCATGGTATTGCTTCACATTTTACCCCGTCAAAGGTCTTCACATTTTGTCAAATGTCAAACTTATACGCTTGTCTCGCGAACGATAAGAAGAACATTGCTGTCATCATGGTCCATTTTCTCGTCTGTGTCATTGGAAAGTGTTTTTCTAATCGTGCCCTCCGATACTGGCATGTCGAGGTTCTGCCGTTGCACGCTCTTTGTGCGATGGAACTCGAGCGCTGACGTCATCAAGCTGCTGAACAGGACACTACCCCCCGCGACGTAGAACGACACGTTGTAGTTACCAGTGACGTCATACAGATAACCTGCGGACCAATACAAAAAAAAAAATTATAGAAGGTATATAGTTGGCAGAAAAAAGTTAACTAACAATATCTCTTGACAACATCTTGCTTTTCGAATTTGTATTACAGGCATGTCTGTCATAAAAGCACAAAGTATGACTCTACCCAAGGAAAAGTCTTACCCAGCTTAAATGAGCTGATATCTTACAAAGTGGTTTGACATTACGACAGTTGAAGGTTACCTGCAAATGGCGGGCCGAGGAGCATAGAGAACCCGCGAACGCCAAAAGCTATCCCGACAGCACTCGCCAGTCTCTTCACTCCGCAGAACTCCGACAAAAACACCACCGTCTTCGTGGACAAGCACCCCATGAATAGTCCGATAAAAATGCAACAGATCACCATAGTTTGGTACGTCTGTGCAAAAGGCAAGAACACCAGACACAGCCCGAGACAGGCTGCAAACCACGAACCCACGAAGAAGAGGATACAGACCCAAGCTGAACAACCATCCGTACCCGATTCTAGCCAAGCAGTCGGCAATGCCAACCGCCGAGACCAGGAATGCAGCTTGCTGCGGCTCCATTCCCACGTTTCTGGCGTGTTTTACTAGATGAACAAACGGAATGCCAAACCCCACTATCAGAAACATCATGATGATGTTAAAAACAACGAAATACGGCATTTTGAACAAGGAGAGGTCCAGAGCAACGCACAGACGTGCCAGCTGTGGTCCACGGTTTGCATTCCTGGAAGTTGGTTCATCAGCTACGTGAGTGTTTTTCTCTTGCATGTCTGCTCTCAGGTTGATTGGTCGTAACAAGGCCCCGAACACGCAGCCTTGCAGGGAGACGCCTGCCACGATAAAGAGGGAACCCCTCCAGCCGTACTCGTCGATCAGTAACTGGAACACAGGAGGCAGAGCAAAGGCTCCGAGTCCGGATCCTGATATCCCAATGCCATTGGCAAGCGCCAGTCTTCTCTTGAAATATCTCCCCACCATGGTTATGCACGGCGTGTACATCAGCGAGATGCCGACACCTGGGGAGGAAAGAAGGAGAAACAAAGCATAGTTGACTGTCGGCAGGCAGATGATTCTGTAGTCGAATTTAGGCCTACAAAAAACTGTTTGTGTGGCAGGAGGGTCATCAGTATTCGAACACGTTCGAACATTCGACGCCCTAGAATGTCGTTTGGCGCGTTCGATCGAATGTTGTTCGACGCGTTTGAATGCTGTTCGACGCTTTCGAATGTTGTTCGACGCGTTTGAATGCTGTTCGACGCTTTCGAATGTTGTTCGACGCGTTCGAATGTCGTTCGACGCTTTCGAATGTCGTTCGATGCGTTCAAACATTGACGGAAATGCGATCATAACAGTAGATTGCACTGATATTTCTTTTTATTTGTGGACTCTTCCTTTAAGTTTGAACTTACCTGTGATGAACCCAGCCGTGAGGTTCATGACGGCCAGGCTGGTGACGCCCATGCTGGAGAGCAGACCTGTGGTGGCCAGCAGACTGCCCGTCATCACCACCGCCCTGCAGCCGAACACGTTAACCAGGGCGCCCGTTGGCACGGCTGGGGAAGATAGAGAACAAAATAGATAATCGTGTATGACGGTCACCCTCTGTGTGTACTGTCACTGTGTAATTCAGCAGACATATGATAAAGGAGAGTATGATTTGGATACTTACACCCAAAGAGCGTGACGGACCCCATGATGGAGCTAACCCAAGCTGTGGAGGCGGCGTCCTGGTCGAAAGACTCCTGGAAGTACGGGAAGAACACTCCGAACGACTTAAACGTCGCAACCACAAAAAAGTGCGACAGAAATGTGGCCAGGACGACGAACCAGCCCCAACCGCCGTCTGGCGGGTCTTCGTGGTACTGCACATTTCTCCTTTTGGCCATGTTTTAGATAGACCTGCAATTGTGGATTGCGTGATCACCTGTAAAGGACAGAGAACAAAGCAGTGATGAACAGGCACCAACCAGTCTCCTTGTGGTCTCGTTGAAAGCTATTGTGTTCCTACAAAACAAGGACTATTTTGCTGATTATATTTTACTACATACAAACTTTTTTGGTATTCAACAAACCCTTTCATATTAAATTGAGGCGAGGGGTCACCCAATCAAAGCGAGGTGTCACTGCATTCTTCACATTTAAGACGAATCGCCTGTTAGAGGAAGGAGTTAATTTTTTGTATGGGCTGTCGGGATTGCCACGTTTGCATTATTTCGCAATGCCTGCCCTGGCCGTAGGGCCTTTGCCCTAATGTGAGATGCAAAGTCCTTTTCCAGTTGTCAGAGAGCGGTGCAATCAGGGGGAGGTTGAAAAACCCGTAATGTATTGTGCATAGCACTTCTAACGTCTAACATAAGGTCGTATTCGTGCATATAAGGTTAACATCCCGACAGTGGTTTCAAAATATGTCGGAAAAATCCTCTAGCCTGGTTACCAAACCTATTATAGCTCCCGAGTCCTACATCCACTCCGCAAATAGGACCTATATGTGCGGAGAGGATGTAGGGCTCAAGAGCTATAATATATATAATATACTGTCTTACGTCGATGAAGGTTAGACATCCAGGTAATACGATACGCCAAAAAAAGTTACTCAAGCAACTGGATATGATTTTGAAAACGTCAGACGTTTCAGCTAGTAACCACTAGCTTTCGTCAGTGACTGAGAGACCAGAGGGGAAAGCAGGTTTATAAGTACAACCTGTTGATTGATATGCAAATAAAGTGAAGACAAATTTTTGGAAGTCGAAAAAGGAACAAAAGTCAGACAAGTCAAGACAAAATGATGCAAATTAGTCTGAAAACTCTCTTCCATCGTGCAGACAACATTGTCACTTCAGACCAAGCCAAAACGGACGAACAGCTTTAACTGACCGAGTAACTGTTTTTTGGCGTATACTGTCTTACTTTGTTGAGCACCCTGGGTCTTACTTCTGAATCAGCAAGCAGAGCTTAGTCGTTAATGTGCAGTTTCAGACGGCACTTCTGCTTGTAGGCGTTAGCCTTAGACAACAAGAACTGTGCCCCAGTTTATATAACCGGTTCTTTCATTAGACCCGTCGGACATGTCACATGGCGAGATAAATTTCTGGT